CCTCTTTGCAACACAAAACTATAAACCAGACTCCAAACAACTTTGACATAATAAGCATTAATATTCACTCCAAGATAAAGTTCGTAATCAGCTCCGTGTATATCCCTCCAAACACTCAATTTTCCATCAAAAGCCTAGATAATATTCTCTCTCAAACTATACTACCGGGTTTTTGTCACAGGCGACTTCAATTCCTGGCATAACAGCTGGGGTTCTAAAAACAGCAACGAAAGGGGGAAAACTGTATTCAAATTTCTGACCCAGTCCTCACTAACCCTTTTAAACGACGGCTCGCCTACATCGCCCATTCTTGCGCTCCAAAGTCACTGGCAAATAGTGTCACACCTCTTTGGCAGTGACCATTTCCCGATAATAGTATCCCTCTTCACCGATGATATCGCCGAAAAACCTCTAAACCGGCCAATTTTCAACTTAACTAAAGCCAACTGGACTCAGTTCCACTCACTAGCAATCCAGTTTAGCAACAGTAGACCAATAAGCTCAAACATCAACAAAGAAACGGCCAATATCCATAAAATCATCCTGCAAAGCGCAAACCAATTAATACCCCAATTAACAAACATATGGAAAAATAAAGTCCCGTGGTGGAACAAAACACTGGAAGAGTTAAAATCCAAAAAAATCGTCTTTGGAACAAACTAAAACGAAACATCACGAATGATAATATAATAGAATACCAAAATAGCTCATGCCAAGTTTAGACGCCATCTCAAGCTATCTAAAACAGAATCAATAAATAATTTCACCTCTATCATCAACCCATACACTCCACCAGGAAAAGTGTGGGCAACTATCCGCGCTTTCTGCGAACTAAAACCCAGACACTCAATTCACTGTATCAATACACTCACAAATAGAAGTACAACCACAAATAAGACTGAAATAGCTGAAGAATTCGCCAAATATTGGTCAAATGAAGCTCTCGACAATAAATTCCCCGTAACATTCCAGCAATGCAAGCAAACCACTCTTAAGGAAGTCCCAACCTTAACGCCTAGCAAATCCGCTCCCTTTATAGAAGAAAAAATTGGTTACACCGAACTCGACGCAGCTCTATGTAGGCTAAAAGACAAAACTCCTGGATTGGATCGAATATCCTACCAGATGTTACAGCAGTTACCATTAATAGTAAAACATAGACTCCTTGATCATTTCAATAATATTTTCAATAACTACTTACCCCAACTATACAAAAATAGCATCATTATACCAATCCTAAAACCAGATACAGACAAAACTTTAATAAAATCGTACAGGCCTATTTCCCTCAACCCATGCTGCTCAAAACTTTTAGATAAAATTATAGCAAATCGACTATGGTGGTTTGTCACTAAAGACAAACTCCTACATAGTCACCAGATGGGATTCAGGAAGGGAAAATCAGTGTCTGATCTTCTAGTGTACTTAGATCATCAGATCACTCAATCCCTATCAGCCAAAAACATGTCTCTATAGTCTCACTTGATTTCTCTAAGGCTTTCGACAAGATCGGAGTTCACTCCATCTTAAACCAGCTGAAACAATGGAACATTGGACCTAAAATTTTCAAGTATATAAAAAACTACATGACAAACAGAACCATCAAAGTAAAAATAAACGCATACTACTCCCAGACTTTCCCTCTTCAAAATGGTATCCCACAGGGCTCTCCATTATCGGTCATACTCTTTCTAATCGCATACAACAAACTCTGCAATATAATCTCTCTACACAAAGAATTAGACTTTCTTGCATATGCTGATGACTTTATCATCATAAAAAAAATGAACAAATCAAAAAACTTTTCACTAGACTTAAATAATTTACATAACGATATAACTATATGGTCCTTAACCTCAGGAGCTGAATTATCGCTACATAAATGCAAACACGTACACATATGCAAAAAACAAAATTGTTCGTCTAACGTATGCTGCAATAACCTTACCATGAACTCCGTTGACAATCTAAGAATACTTGGGCTCATCTTTAATAAAAGATATAGTTGGAACAGCCATATTGAATACCTTGTAACCGCACTCCAAAAGCGACTCGACATCATAAAATGTCTGGCAAGCCCCAGATACAACTGCAACACAATATCATTAATCTCAGCCGTAAAAGCACTTATTATATCTAAAATAAACTACGGAATATACATATATGCGTACTGCCCAATTTCGGTCGCTAACAAATTAAGATCAACCATCAATTGTAGCATTCGTATCGCCTTAGGAGCTTTTAAAACAACCCCTATTGTTCATCTTGCCTCAGAAGCCAATATAATTCCATTAAATTCCAATAGAGACCTCATTACGGCTAAACTCGCCAAATCTCTCGTAATAAACGACCAATCTCCCCTTTCCTCACTTCTATCCAAAACTAGGCAAGCAAAGATAAATAAAATACCATCTTGTCTAAACGGAGTAATAAACACAGCTACATTGACTGATATTCCACTGGGCTTTAAGCTGCCTAAAAACCCTAAAACACCGGAATGGAAACTGAGCTACACATCCATAAACACAAAACTGAGCTGCGTAAAAAAGGATGCTACTCCTCCAATAGTCTTTCGAAACAAATTCCACGAAACTATTGAAGAACACCCTGATTTTAAATTCTTATATACAGACGGTTCAAGAATTCACTCAAAAACTAGCTACAGCGTGACTCAAAGCAACCAAATAGTAAAAATAGCACATCTACCCCCTTATAGCTCAAACTTTGCAGCTGAGCTAATAGGTATTCATGAAGCCATAAACTACGCCTCTAAGTTACCCCAGAAGTTTGCTATTTGTACCGACTCCCTTTGTTCCTTAGACGCAATAAAAAATATTAACAACCACAACTTTTACACTAACTCAATCCGCAGTTATCTCTTAGAAAAACCGAATAAGCTTAAACTCATATGGGTCCCTGGCCACGTGCAAATTCCGGGCAACGAATATGCGGACCTTGCTGCGAAAAACGCCCTAAACGCACCCCTCACAGTCACACCAAACGTACTCTTCTCGGACATAAAGCGGTTCCTAAAAGCAGGGCTCTCCCAAAAAGACTCAAACATAGAGAGAAATCTCTCCGAATGGTACACAAACATCTCGCAAAACTGTCCAATAGTTAATCAATACCTTAAACTTAACGCTAAATCCTTATCTAGGAAAAACCAGACAAAAATTTTCAGGCTGCGACTGGGGCATACTAGACTTACACATAAACACTTAATGGACAAAAACCTATCTAACACTTGTAACTACTGCAACGCTTATCCAACTAACGTCGAGCACATCCTCGATAAATGTACATACTTCGACGTCCATTGCGAATCACTTCTTTGCGTACGACCTTCCGACCTACTAAAAAATCCTTCTGTATATAACCTAACAACTTTAATAAACTATTTAAAATACTGCAACTTATACAACGATATTTAATAAATTAATATATTTTGACAGCCATTGACCCAAACTACACATAAATAACCAACAGGTGCTAAGTATGTATGAACACACAATACTAATAAAGCTCCGTTCATAAAAGTACACATATGTAGGTTAGCTTAAGGCCGTTGATGCCATAGCTTCTAAATTTATATTGTACTATAATTTATTTATAGTTTCAATATCTTTATAAATAAATAAATAAATAAAAATAAAAAGTAACATATGTATGTATGTGGTCATATGAATAACGGCCGCTTAAAATCGATCTCAAATTTGTACTTTCGCTGTAGAATGTTATGTAGTTTGACTATTGTCAATGAAATCGAATGCTTTGTACTGCATGCGCTCCACGTTTTTCGTTTTCAATGTCATTAATTGTTTATAATGACTTTTGCTAAAATTTCAAAACCAAAAGTTATCAAAACAAATTCTGTGGGACTGAGAAATATTATTTTCTACTTTTTAGTCCATTTAGAAAAGCGATATATAATAAAGAGTTTTTTTTATTTGATTTATTTTATATATATAGATATATGAACGCACGCTGTTTGGTCCACCAATCCATACGCGTGCGAACAACAGCGGAAATTTTTTCTATCTAACATTCGCGATCGCGAACTATCTGGACTGGTTTTCTGCTTCTCGTTCGCGAAGGGGAATCAATACAGAATATTTGACACGTTCACCTACGCGTTCGCGTACGAAGGTGAGTAAATATTTCCGAATTCACTTGCTTATTACGCCATGCACCGCTTCAAAACTTAGGGGCACTTAAATTCTGTAATACTTGCACGACAGCCACCGTTTATAATATTTTCTTTATTTATACTTTTTATAAACTATTTAGTTTTACAATTAAAAAAAATAAGTAAATAAACAAAAAACTTTTTAACATACAACGCTTTTATAAATGGACTAAAAATTAAAAAATAATATTTCTCAGTCCCGTAGAATTTGTTTTGATAACTTTTTAGTTTGAAATTTTAGTAAAAGTCATTATAAACCATTTATGAGATTGAAAACAAAAACGTGGAGCGCATGCAATACAAGGCATTAGATTTAATTGAAAATAGTCAAACTACGTAACATAGACCTAAAATTTCTACAGAGACAGTACAAATTTGAGATCTATTTTAAGCGGTCGTTATTCATATATCCACATTCATACATATATTACCCTTTATATCAATTCAGGTCTATTACATGCGCCCCACGCTTTTCATTTTCAATCTCATAAATGAAATAGGCATAAATAAGCTTTCTGCTTATTTGCCTATAACTCTAAATTACTTTTTCAGAATTTTCGCAATGCCGCGAGAAATTCAAATAAATGTGCCAACATATAATAAAATAAAAGCAGCTCCAGCCCCACCGCGCTTACCGAATAGTGAAGCAAGCACCAAGTGCAGTGAAACGAACCTTGCCGTAACAGAAGCTGACCAAAAGCATTCAGCTGATCGACGATATGCTTACTTTTCGTTCGTTTCTCCCACAAACAATGCTGATCGTGATAAATCGTTCTCTCCCTCCCCCCAAACACTTTGGCATGCACAGTCACCAATGTCTCTGGTAGACCCAGTTGTTCTAACGCAACAACAAAGCACTAGCTTAGCAACAAGCACAGTAACAACGGTGTGCGCAGCTCTCACAACAACGACTACAACCACGACTTCAGCAATGACAGCGGTTTCACAACGCAGTTCACCCACACCTGCACAAACGGCAATTTCGGCACTAGCCCAAGCCAAGCAACGCAGCTCAGCGCAAGTTGACCTACTTAATCCAACAACCCGTACATTGACTCAAACGGGTATTGATAGGTATATACAAGTCAAACCAAAATTAAGCCAAAATTGCAAACCCGTCAAAAATTGCAAAAACTAAAACCACTGACATTAACCCTCTACTGGGAAATAAGTTTGCGATTCTGGACAATGAATGTGACAAAGAGCCGTATGAAGTTTCTAAAGCCAAACCGCCCCAATTTATTTACGAGAGGAAAACTGTAGTGAGCTCGTGAAAAAAATTAACTCAGCTTATTGGAGACAGTACGGTCCACGTAACGTCAGTTACCAAGGGCAATATTAAAGAGACCAAACTTCAGATTCTAACTGAAGAAAATTACCGGTTGGTAACCAAACACCTTAATGAAGATAAGACAAACTTCTATACGTACCAGCTTAAAAGCAGCAAAGGACTGCAAGTAGTAATAAAAGGTATAGAATAAAATGTACCCATTGGTGATATTGCTCATGCTCTAGAGAAGGCAGGATCTTCTGTTAAAAATGTTGTCAATATTATCAACAGAGCAAAAATCGCTCAGCGTATATTCAAGGTAGAACTTAAGCCAGAAACAAAGCGAATGAATAAAAACGCAGTACACCCAATCTACAACCTACGATACCTTCTACACCGAAGAATAACAGTGGAGGAGCCACACAAGCGAAACGGTCCCGTACAGTGCACAAATTGTCAAGATTTTGGGCACACCATAACATACTGTACCTTGCGCCCAGTGTGTGTTGCCTGTGGCGACCTTCACGCTTCCGCTTCTGGCAAGGCAGTAATTGCGGAGGTAACCACACCGCCAATTATAGGGGATGCCCTTTATACAAAGACTTAAAGTCTCGCATGAATCAGCGCAACACAGCCATACGCTCTTCCACCACTCCAACTAGCTCTTATACATACCAACACCTCACGCCATCAACCACTACACCAGGAGCCTTTTTTGCCAATGCGCAGCGAGTTCCCAACGTTTCTTTTGCCGACGCATTAAAACTACAAACGCAGAAAAGCACGGCGAAATCAAACTCCAATCAAGAAACATTTGGAGATATTCAAAGGAATAATACTGAGCAAATGCAGCCGAACCCCCCTACTTGTGGCATAGAAGGAATGATATTGAATCTTACTCATTGTATGACTCAATTCATGTCTACTATGCAAAATATGATTCGAGACCTCATAAAGGCTCAAAACCAATTGTTGCAAATTTTAGTGAATAAAAAATTAGTGAATTGAAAATTTGCTTATGGAATGCTAACGGTGTAAACCAGCGTAGATTAGAACTCAGTCAATTTCTCACTGAATACAACATAGATGTTATGCTACTGTCCGAGACACATTTAGCAAATAAATATAATTTCTCCATACCTGGATACAAACTCTATGCCACAAATCACCCAGATGGTAAAGCTCATGGAGGCACAGCGGTGCTGATTAGAAATCGCCTAAAGCACAATATTCTAGAGTCAAAAGCAACAGTCTGTCTGCAAGCAACTACCATATGCTTACGAAACCGCGACCGAGACTTGAATCTATCGGCCATTTATTGCCCACCGCGATTTTTAATTTCTGAAAATGATTTTAAAGATTTCTTTGATAGACTGGGGAATAGATTCCTGGCAGGAGGCGACTTCAACGCAAAGCATACATACTGGGGATCAAGCCTTATTAACCCAAAAGGGCGGCAGCTATTTAATACCAATATAAACAGGCACAATAGACTATAGGTCACATCTCCTGGTAAACCTACTTACTGGCCCACCGATATAAAGAAGATACCAGATCTAATAGATTTCGCAATTACAAGAAACATACACAGAAATAACATAACAGCAGAAATTTTACCGGAACTATCATCCGATCACTCCCCTTTATTAATAAAACTATATGAACAGACCCAAAATATCGAGATTGAGCCTCGTCTAACTTCAAATAACACCAAATGGCTTAAATGTAAAAAGTACATCAGTAGTCACCTTAAATTAAACGCTGCAAAACCTTTACTTCAGCCCCTGGCCTTGCAACACCAAATCAAGTCCAATTACCACCTAGGCATACATCAGTTACAAATACCGAAATAGAAAAACTTGTGGCAGAAAAGCGGCGCCTAAGAAGACAGTGGCAGAGCCATCGCTCACCAACCTCACAGCTACTGTATAAAGCTGCCAGTATAAAACTGAAACAATCACTCAAACGTGCAGAGGATCGCAACTTGCAAATGTACATTAAGAAGCTTTCCCCGAATTCTACTGAAAGATACTCTCTATGGAAATCGCTAAAATACTTCAAACTACCAGTGGCTATGGAAATGCCAATTAGGAACCAAAGTGGAACCTGGGCTCGTAGTGAGCAGGAGAGAGCCGAGTGTTTTTCACACCATTTACAGAATGTGTTTCAGCCAAACTGTCTCACGAACAACTTCAGGCTGCCAAGGCTAACCAAAAATACAAATGAGCTATACACACCAAGACGAACTCTTTAGAAGTAAAAGCTATAGTAAAGCAGCTTAATCCAAAGAAATCGCCGGGTGCTGATTTTATAACTCCGAAAATGCTAATAGAGCTACCGAATGTTGCACTAGCAATTCTTTCTGACCTTTTCAACGCTATCCTCAAAATCGGTTACTTTCCCAAATCATGGAAAAGGTCGAAGATAATCATGATATCCAAACCTGAAAAAGACGCAACACAGCCGTCCTCATACAGACCAATAAGCTTACTGACCTGTCTTTCCAAAGTATTCGAAAAAGTACTCCTATCAAAGATATCTCCCTTTCTCCATGAACGCAATTTAATACCAGCACCCCAATTTGGCTTCCGAGAAAAACATGGTACAATTGAACAAGTTAATCGAATTACAAATGAAATCAGAAGGGCATTTGAGCTCAGAGAGTACTGCTCTACAATTTTTCTCGATGTGGCACAAGCCTTCGACAAAGTGTGGCACGACGGTCCTATATATAAAATTAAAAAATTGTTGCCGCCGGAATTCCACAAAATATTTGAATCATACATAACTAACAGAAAATTTGCTGTTAAAGTATCTAATTTCACTTCAGAAGACATGTCGATAACGGCTGGCGGTCCTCAAGGTAGTGTACTCGGGCCTACGCTGTATATCATCTACACTTCAGATATTCCAACTAGCAAGGATATACTCACATCCACCTTCGCTGATGATACCGCCTTAGTAAGTCGTAACAAATGTCCCAACAGAGCTTCAAGAGTACTAGAGGAACATTTACTACGCATAGAAGAATGGCTGGCAAACTGGCGCATAAAAGTCAACGAACAGAACAGTAAACATACAACATTTTCACTCAGACCGCAAGTATGCCCCCAATCAAATTAAATAATGTCCATATTCCACAAGCCAATGAGGTGACATATCTAGGAATACACTTGGGTAGGAGACTAACTTGGCGCAAACACATATCAACCAAAATTACACAAATGAAGCTAAAGTCTAGGGACGTTCCGATACCATCAAAGTATCGATACCTACTTAAATGAGTTTACTCAAATCGTTATTTCGATACTACTTATATGAGTAAACCGAAAGTATCGATACCTACTTATATCGATAATTTTTCATTCTTGTATATGCAACAACGTGAAAGGGATTTTCCGGCGTTTATCTGTGATATACCTTTTGCGTTATGCATTTTTCACACAAAGTCCGAAAGATCACGACACATAGCGACAAATTTTATATGACACGGCGTAAATAACTAAAAACATGACTTTAAACACTTTTAATTTTTTATTTGTATTATTTTGTTGAACATGAACGAAAAATAAACAGCAATTTGTATTGTATTTGCAATACAGCGAGTGGAAGACCGACCTATCCCGGCAGCCAGTTCGAAAACGTCCTATCTCAGAACACTTTTCAAAAACGTCCTATTTCAGAAATATATTGAAAAACGCCCTATCTCTGAAAACGTTTCAAGAGCACCCTATTTCATAACTCGGTTCAAAAACGCCCTATCTCAACATATTTTCAATATATTTTCAGTTGAGATAGGACGTTTTTGAACAAAATTATGAAATAGGGCGTTCTGGAAAAGTTTTCTGAGATAGGGCGTTTTTCAATCAATTTCGGAAATAGGGCATTCTTGAATAGTTTTCTGAGATACGGCGTTTTCGAACTGACTGCCGAGATAGATCGATCTTCCACTAAGGTGTCGATATATGTATTTCGTCATTAGTAACGATATGTATATTTATTCATTAATTAGAGAACAATTTCAACCTTTGAAAGGTTCCCACAAAACTTTACGGTTTTAAAGCATTCCTGGCACTTTGCTGTGGTATCAGTAATTTTGTAAAAATGAACTAGCTTATAAACATCAAATCAAAACTGAAACTAGATTATAAAGTACTTGTATATAATACAGTGATTAAGCCTATATGGATGTATGGTATTCAACTGTGGGGTACGACCTGTGCAACCAACAGGATCCAAAGATTCCAATCTAAAACGCTAAGAGCCTTAACGGTAGCACCGTGGTTTGTCCGAAATGAAAATATACATAGAGACCTTGGTATACCGATGGTTAAATCTGTAATCGACAGCAGCAGAGAAAAATACAAAATAAAACTGCGTAACCACCCAAATCTACTGGCAAGTGGCCTGTGCAACACAACAAATATAACACGCCTGCGAAGAAGAGATCTACCAGCCTTTCATTGAGCGACGTTAAACCAACAGGGCTCAACTCCAGGGTTTGAGCTATATTATTGTAAAATTACTCGTAAGATTTTAAAACTTGTTGTTGGGCTTAATATATGTAAAATAAGCAGATCCAACAAATAAATGCAAGTATAATTAAAAAAAATAAAATAAATAAATGAAATAAATTATAATGGCTTTCGCTACCATTTCAAAATCAAAAGTTATCAAAAAAAATTCTATGGGACAGAAATATTATTTTCTAATTTTTATTCCATTTATAAAAGTGTTGTATATTAAAAAGTTTTTTTTTTTTAATTTATTTACTTTCTACTTTTTAGTCTTGTCTGTATAAAATTTTGCAATAGATATTAAAATAATTCAACTTGCAGTGAAAAGAGGACAGAAAACAATGCAAGCAAAATGTTGTTTGCTCACGTTTATGATAAACATACATATGTACATACATTCATATAGCAGCTGCTAATTTGATTTAAAGAAATGGCGTATCATCCATTTCCTCTGTAGCGTATGTAGATAGTGCATATATTAAGCGTAATATTTAACTTCTTCTGGAGGGGCGACATCTACAGTCTTCTAATTGTATCTCTTTGATATGTTGCCGACAACGAGGCTGATATCTAGACTAGGTTGATATCTAGAATTTGCCATAAATAGCTTTGCTACATAATATAATTATAGTATAAATGGTGGTCTGGATACACAACATTGCAAGTGACTGGACACACAACATTTCAGGTTGATAAAAGCGTTGTAATAATAAAAATTAAACTACGTTTCTTTTTGAAATGTTGAATTTTGACAAATTCACTATTTTGACGAGCGAGGCGTACACCAAGTCGATGCAAAAGTTGTATGTAGGCGGGCCTTTATACGCATAGAAAGTACAAAAGTTACCCAAAGTAACCCTTCAAATTTGTAAACACAATGACTTAGATCAAGGCTGTTGAAACTGCGGCCAACGGGAGTGGAGGTAACAACCTAAACCCTATAGCTGTACCGGTGACACGCGTACTCCGTTTACCTGCCGTTGTACTACAATGTGAATCCCCATCGATTAGGGTAAACAACGAACTAAACATGTCTTTGATTGACTTGCCATCAGTGCCTCATACGTTTCTTAAACATTTTAAATATATAATTTTTTCACTTTCTTATAACTTTTTTCTTTCTTAATATAATTTCTTTAAATTTTCATGTGGCGTGGGCCCCCTTGTGGCGCCCTAGGCTAGCGCCTATGTAGCTTATGCTTAAATCTGGCCCTGAAGACGTGGATAATATATATCGGAGGTTCCCAAACTTTTTTTTTCTCGTAGACCCCTTTCACAAATTTACTGGTGGACCCCCTGCTGATACATTTCTAAATAATTCCAAAACTCTTAAAAAAATGAAATGTGAAAATTAGATCTAACAATGTAAATTTGCATCGCGGGTGCATTCAAACACTAAACTCAGAGTGGCCAAAATAAAAGTAAAATATTTTCTTGTGTTCTATTTATAAAAATTAAGTGATCACACACTTGTAGGTTTTAAAAAATAGAGGTCGTAAATACATCAAAATACTCTATCACTACGAGGAGTTATATTTTTGAAGAGCACTGCCGGAGCTAGCGTTATTTACATTATCTTTACCATAAACTCATCAAATGTTCGGCTCACTCATGACTTTGCACATGGAGTATATGTAAAATAGTCTATTTGTATTAATGGCATTATTTTTATTTTTATCGTTCCGAGTTTTAAAGTGAGGCGAAAAATATTTATCACATTTTTAAAACACAAAACTTAAAACATCAAAACGGCTAAGCTTTTTACGCCAAACTTTTAATTCAGAAACTGACAATAGAGAAAAGAACGAGTTTAAAAAAATCTATGACAAATAACCAAGCAAGCAAGAAGCACAAAAAGTGTTCCACCGTCTCACTTCTTCAAGGCAAGATGGGAAAATGGACTTGTCATTTACGCCTATCACAGTCAAGTGTTTGTGCCACTTGAAGTGACCAGTCAGCAGTCCAGCAAGTTTGCATGCAGTGTCGTCTGCTCAGTGAGAGCAAAAAATTAGATAGACCTTGTGAGATTGAAGGCAACATGAGTTTTGCCCACCTGCATCGCCTCGATGCCTCTCAGTTTTTGATGAGCGAAGTATTCACCCAGTTTATGATGGTGGCTTCAATTGCCGAAGGTGGGAGTGCTAAAACTAGTTGCGGACCGAGGTGTGCCTGGTCTGAGCCAACTCTGGCCAAATGATCAGATGTCTCATAATCAGGTACTCCTGAGTGACCTGGCACCCAGAGTAAAACAACTTCGTTATGTTCACCATCATATTTTAGTCGAGACTTGCATTGCCGAACTAGTTTGGAAATACTTAAATAGAGGGCTGTCCAATGCCTTAAGTGCAGCTTGGTTGTCACTGCAATCACGTAAACTCCTTCCTCTCCACCTATGTTCCACCACGTAGTCCATGGCTTTGAGTATTGCAATAGCCTCAGCCTGGAAGACCGAAGCATATTCCCCTACAGTGTGAAAGTTAAAAGTGAAGGTTATCTCCATTAACTTCGAAAAGACCTCAGATCTTGACCGAGAGTCAGTTTTGGAGCCATCAGTGAAGCCATGTGTGAGTCTGGTCTCAGCGATGGAATCAAACCAGCATTCAGTCTCAGTGAACTCAACATTATAGAATCTCTTCAAAAAGATAATGGTGGCGTACTATCCTGTAGCATTGAAGAGACACAAGTGCTTAAATCTCTGCCGCCAGCAATTTTCTCCGCGCCCCACTCATTGTCATACCAGCATCCGGTTCTTTTTAGTATGCAGGTGGCCTTTCAGGCTTCCCCACGTATGAAAACACAAGGTGACGGTAAGTGCAGCAGTGCGTCAAGAGCACTATACACCACTCAAACAAATTAAACCACTTTGGGAATCACTGTTATAAATTAAGCATACCGGGCAGCAAGTGAACACATTCGACGAGCAGATGAGCTATAACCAACATTAAGCTGTGATCTTTTTATTTATATTTATTTATTAGTGATGCCAAAATAAAATATGTTAAAATAATAATTGTGTCAAATGTGATGTAAATGTACTGATGTAAGTGTTATCGTGAAGAATTTTATTCGTTATATGTGTATATGTTAACTAATTGTTTTCATATTGCAATATGTAACATTGTATCTATGATACAATAATTTTTAGAAGGTAGTTTTACTTCTTCTTCTTATCCGCCATGTTAGCTATCTGACAGGAAACGTGTTTCGTATTTTTTGTTGTACCAACGTTTTCAAAAAAAAAATCCAGCTTTTGACGTTGGAGAAATAAAACAAAGAAAAGCCAAACATATAAGTAGAGAAATTTTCGAATATTTTGTAGTAATTTTCTTCATAAAAAATTAACTGCTGCTTTCGTGGATATTGCAACACACGGAATAGATGTAAGGACACAGCTATAAGAGCCACCGCACACCACAGATTTTATTGGCCGCCTATTTAAATGAT